ATTGACCATTTTAAATGAAAATTTACTATTGCAAATTCACAGTGCAGTGTCTCTTACTCACATTGTGCTTTGTCCATTGCCAACATGCATTTCCAGAAAATTTTCATCTTCCCAAACCCATCCCCTGTCATAAAAATCTCCCCATTCCTACCACACTTGTACTGCCCCCTTTCTACTGTGAAACATGGTGACAAATTACAGCTGTTGAACTTGATATGTAGTGAGACAGACGAGGTAGAATTTACAGGTCTAGATGTTTGCATTGCTATCTTTTCTATTAGATATTTAACCTGGGTGCCACAGTTCCTGAGACTAGCGTGTTCTGCTGTGGAGCTGCCTAAAGTCACTTTTAATGTCCATGATCCTCAGGCTGTAGATAAGGGGATTCAGCATAGGAGTGATCGCAGTGGAAACGGCTGAATCCACTTTACCTTATCTGGGAGATTGTGATATACCCAAACCAAGTATATGCCAGTGTTTGTTCCATAAAATAAGCAAACTACTGACAGGAGAGACCCCCACATGGAGTAAGATATATATTTTCCACTCAATGCAGAGATTCTCAGAATGGAGGAAACAATTTTATTTTTTATGCTTTGTGTTTTATTTTCATTTTATACATTTGTATAAGTTGTTGACTGCTCTGCCAGCCTAGTTGTAACCACGTGTGGATATCCAGGAAGACCTGACCTTCCTCTAGGATATGCTGGTGAATACAGCCTGCCTCCACTAGTAAAGGTAAAACACGCTAATTTTAGATTTTCTTTGTGAAAAACATGGAAAAATAAACCAGAGATCATTAGTGAACCAGAGATCAAATCATTGCTCCCTGAAAATATAACCACCTTGTTCAATTTCACTGATGGGCATGGAACTTGTTAAAGGTTCTATGAAAAATACAAAGATAAATTCACTTAAAGGGGGTGCAAACTAGTGTAGGAAGCATGTGCTTGTCCTTGTTAAAAAAGAATTTGAAATAATAACAAGAAGGTTTAGAAACATTTATTTAAGTCTAACTTAAATAAATCAATGTTCTCAGCACAAATTAGAAGGAATGTATTTTTTGAGTTCAAGAATGGTAGTAGTGCAATAGCCACATTAATTAAAATAATTTCCTTTAACAAAGTCTACCGAAATTTTAATAAGCTGTTTCTTTTATTGGCCCAACCTCATTGAAATATCTTGAAGATAAATATGCTGGAGCTAAATATGACTAGAAAAAGTTTCTGGAGACAGTTTTAGTAAAGCATCATGCTGTGAAATTATCAGCTACCAGGAACCAGATCTTGCCTCATGAAAACACTAGGGGTGATCACAACACTTAAAATAGTAAAATGAAAACAAGGAACTTACTGGAAAAATGCCACTCTTGCTTCTGGAAATATGAATAGCAGCTTCTCTCATTTAACTCAAGGTGAAAGAAATTTGGAGTCTGAAAGATGTTGAATCTTATGTCTCCATGAACCCTAGACCAATGCTTAATTCAACTAAATTTGTCATGTTAGTCTTCCGTGATAGTAGGCTTTTAATTGATGTATAACATTTGAAAATAGCACTTCTGAGTTGCAGTTACTTAACAAAAGGAAAGAATTATTCTAATTGGTTCTCATTGTCCATTTTACCATAATTTGGATGGTTTGAACAGTAACAGTTATCAATAAGTGAAAATCAGTATGTGCATATCCCTGTCAATACATTTAAAAGACTAGAATTAACTTGTACTTTTATTTACTTTTTCATAGTGATTTAATGGACAAGGCTTCATTGTGTTCTAAATAATCTTAACAGTTTTGTTGAAATCTTGAGGGTTTATTAGAAATGGCTTTGGGATGGAATGGATGAAGTTCATGACTGGATGAGGAAACCATAAATGTTGTGTGTGTTAAATAGAAGAAAGTTGAATAGCCATGGGTTTACTTATTGATTTGATCATTTGATAATGGAATGAAATGTATTTGAATTGGAGTCATCATTCCCTCAGTCATCAAACATTCCACCAAATAATGGATGCATTTTGATTTGCCTTTATTTATAATATGGCTATGTTTTCCTTACCTACAAAGATAGACTATCTGTTAGCAATGTGGTGGGTTTCAGATGGCAGCCAGGTATTGTGGTTGTAATCCAAGGTACTCTGGAGGTACAGGAAGGAGAATCATGGATTGAGCACAACCTGGAAAAAATTAGTTAGACCCTAGCACTCGTCCGGCAAACATAATGCCTTGCATTCAATTCAGTACGTTAAAAAAGAGAGAAAAACAAAAAGGTAACTATCTCCAGGATGTGAGGAGCATAAAATATGGCAGCAGCAAAATACTTGACAAGGCTAATCAAAGGTCTCAGAACAGGAAAGGTTAAGGAGCTGAGAAGAAACAAAAGCTAAGGCATAGAAGAAATGGGAAATTTCCACATCCTTTAAGCAGTTAAATTATAATGTAATCAAATCATAATTTAACAAAAGCTATGAGCACAAAAGGCAAAATGAAAATGACATGAAAATAAGAAAATGTAGAGGCTATTGTCATGATGATCTGGTAATGTAGTGGGTGACAGGACAAATGGCCACACACTAGCCATAGGTTATCACAGTCAGAAGCATATCATCCATATGTCTAGGAATTAGAAAAAAAGCCACCTATATGTTTTTCAGATATGACTGTATTGTGACATTAGATATTCACAATCATCTTTGGGATTTTGGTGGAGATAAAACTGATGAAACCTTCAAAGGGCAATGTGGGGAGGAAGAAGTACACGAGGATGTTGAGGTAGGAGTCATAAATGGTGGTTCAGATCATGATGAGGTTTCCATACACCATGACCAGGCACATGGACTGCAACACACAAAAAATGAATAGGCTGATGCTCTAGATTGTTTTAGAAGCTCATGAGCTGTAATTATGAAACTTTTATTAGTTTTTTGTTCTAAACTTGTTGGACATTATTTGAAGGAGAAACAAGGATGGAAAAGAGTAAACAGGTTTCCAGAACTTTTAAATTTAAGTATTCAGAAATAATGTGTTCACACATGAGGTCTATAGATTTTTAACAACATTTCTCAGTTGCATGAAACCCACTCTTCTAGAAATCTTGCTCTGTTAGCATATGTGTTATTCACCTCCATCTGTACACACCTATCATAGAGACACTGAAATGACCTGTGTTAGAAGATCAAGAATATTGCAGTTAGGAAAGCCATGGTTGTGGTAAACTTTAGTCTATGCTTTTAAGAAAGTTTAAACTAGACTCAAAAGCCTTTTAAGAAAAAATCATTTTAATTAACAGATATTAAGAAACATTCAAATATCCCTTATTTTATTTATTTTTACTGGATTTTATGTTTTTTCTTTTCATTAACATATATTAATTGCAGAAAGTAAACCTTATTTTGTTCTAAGAAAATGGAACCAATGCTAACAATATTTAAAATACTTATTGAGGGCTAATTCCATGATCTGGACATTCAGTCAGATCTGATAGCTCATGATCAGAAAACATTCTTATGTTCTAGGTGTTTCTTCATTCACTGAATTTCTGATATTCCCCTTGAGAATTAAACTTCTCATGTACAATTCTTTGTTTTTAAAATTATGTGATATATCCATCCACCTTTTGTTTTGGTAACTTTCAAATTTTGATAAATAGGGGCTCATCAGATGCAAATAGTGACATCACTGATCACTAATGTTGCATGAGTGCATTTTATTCATTTGAAAGGTTAAAAATAATTAATGACAAGAAACACCTTTGGTATCTATACAGGTTTGATTTTGTCAATTGTAGTCAGTCATATAAAATATCTAGCATGAAAGACAGTTCTATCTCTGATTTTATTCTGTAATACCCAGTGACTTACAAATACTGTTTCATCATTTTTCTGATAATAAACTTTTATATCTAGTCGAGAATTTTACATCCTGGGGAGCTCCAATCCTACTTATGACTAGTTAACATATTTTTGCATGAATCTTTTCAGATACATAGATTGCAATTCCTTTACTTCAGCTGAAGGCATTTTTTGATTTATTAGCAAGATCACACTATGCTTTACTTAGGAAAAGTACACTAAGGATGCAGCTCAGTATTACAGAACTTGCCTAGCATGTGTAATGCCCTGGGTTCAATCTCAGTACTGATGGTGACTTAATGTTTGGGGAAAATGCCAAATGCAAACATACCTGGGTAGTATCCTCACCATAAAATGGAGGTAATAATTACATAGTTTATAGGGTTGTTGCAAAAAGTCCTTCCTTCATCAATCCTCTTCCTCTGCTTCATCTCATACAGGTTGTGATCAAGACTACACCTTCATCTCTTTCAGGCCCAGTGAAGGCACAGTCTCTGTCTCCAGAATTGATCTGAACAGTATCAGAGAGGAGTTTCATGACATGGACAACACACAGGAGAAGAATGCAAAGGTATTCTTCTACAATTAAGTAGAATTAAAGGTAATTCTACTACAATTAAGTTTGACTTAATTGTAACCATCAAAATGAAGGGCTGATTGATTATTGACTACTGTATAATTTAGTGCTTGAATACACTGAGATCATAATTAACCAAATTGGCTCATATTATGCCAAACTGCCAGGAATGTCTAATAATGGAGGAAGAAGAAGTTAGGAGAAAAGGAATGTCTACAAAAGGTTTTTAGATCTTTCACTAGTCAGGATAAAGTACATGTATATTAGTCATTCTGTTCATTTATTCATTTTCCTTAAAGTTCCATCAACTTTTCATTTCCATCTATTGTGGTAAAATTTACATAGTAGCAATGTACCAAATCAATCATTTTGAGTGCATAGTTACTTTCATAATTAAAACTTCAAACCCATTGAGAAAAATTCCAATTCTCTACCCATTATCCCTGTCAATTTATATTCATGAAAAATAAAAATGATGAGGAATTACATCCTTAAATTTCAAAAATAATGTGCCCAATGAGGCAGTTATTGTACCATTTGTACTTATTCCCTAAATGGATGCCATAGTACCTGAGATTAGACTGTCCTACTCTTCAGTCTTTTCAGGGCACTACTGATGTCCCTGTTCCTCAGGCTGTAGATGAAGGGATTCAGCATGGGGGTGACCACTGTGTACATCAGTGAGGCCACTGCATTGTTTCTTGGAGAATGTGACACAACAGAACCAAAGTACTCCCCAAGCCCTGTTCCATAATATAAGCAAACAACAGACAGATGAGACCCACAGGTAGAGAAGGCTTTATACCTTCCATGAGATGATGGAATTTTCAAAACAGATGAAACAATTTTACAGTAAGAGAAACTGATCCCAGAGATGGGGAAAACACCACATATGACACCAATCACATACATGACTATGTTGTTGCTGAAACTGTAAGTACAGGCAAGGTTAAGGAGTTGAGAAGGATGACAGAAGAAATGAGCAATTTCTACACCTTTGAAGCAGGTCAGTTGTAATACAATCAAATTGTGCAGCTGGGATTCAAAAGCACTAACTGAAAAAGACATCAGAGCTAAGAAGACACAAAGGCGAGGGCTCATGATGACTGAGTAATGCAAAGGGTGACAGATGGCCACGAAGCGGTCATAGGCCATCGCAGTGAGAAGCAGACTATCCATACATGCAAAAAGTGACAAAAAAGACATCTGAGTTAAGCAGCCCACATAGGAGATGACTCTGATGTGAATATGGATGCCTGCGATCATCTTTGGGACTGTGGTGGAGATGAAACACATGTCAGCCAAGGACAGGTTGGAGAGGAAGAAGTACATGGGGGTGTGGAGGTGGGAGTCAAAGCTGACAATTAGGATAATGAGCAGGTTTCCAAGCAAGGTGACCAGGTACATGGACAGGAATACTCCAAACAGGATGCGCTGGAAGTCTGGATCCTCTGAGAGTCCCAGGAGATGGAATTCTGAGATATATGTTAGATTTTTTGCTTCATCTTTGGCACTGTGTTGGATATAAAACAGATGTCAGCCAAGAGCAATGTGTGGAGGTTGGAGTCAGAATGGGTAGCCAGGATGATATGGATAGTATTATCTAAAAAGGATGGGCTGCAGATCCAGGTAATTTAAGACAGTCATGATTTGTAACTGCGAGACACATGTTAAATTTATTTTGTCTCCATATTGCTCAGAAACTTTAGGAAAATGAATCTAATGACAATGCACCCAGCACTCATATTTTTTGGATGTATGCAGTAAATAATTCACATTTGCTTCCACGTACCTTCAGCAATATTTTTCAATTGTGAAGCACCCAATTTTCTTATAACTTTTTGATTGTTGTTCACCTCCTTCTACACACAATTTATTGAGAGTAATCTGAGTCATATTAGAGAATCAAGAACATTAGAGATAAGGAATCAATGACCATGATAAAATAAATACGACTCTTTCAGAAAAAATAATTTCATTTCCTTTAATAAAATATTCTAATAGAAGGAAATTAAGAAGTATAAAAATGTATTTTATTTTTCTAAGAATATGTTAAGATTATTTATAAACAGTCCACATAAGCTCAGACTTCATTTTATTAACACCTAAAGTTGATGTTTTATAATCAGAAATTGTTGTGTGGTGATACCTCCTAGTATTTTTGTAATCATTCTTGTTTTTTCTGATTACCTCCTGTGTTCATCCAAATATTGCTCATGTTTTAAACGTTAATATGTAACTCCTCTCCTTGGCCTTCCTCAACTACAAGTATTCATAAATGTGGTTTAATTAACTGCCTATAATCATATGGAGGCTCTGATCACCAATGTGGCATTAGTCTTCACTGTATCTGTGATTAAAAATAATAAATGAGAAGCACCCTTGGAGTTTTAAAAGTTTATGCAGGTTTATTTGCATTGACTCCATATACTATCTGTGAAATACAGACTATGTGTGACAGCTCTTCATTTTTTCTCATGATTCTGTATTCTCTACTAGAATGGTCATATGTCTTCTTGATTTCCTGGACACAAGCAGTCCTTTTCGTTAGCATATAATAGTTGTACAGGGGAGTTTCATTGTGACATTTACCTGCATACTTAAAATATATCTTAATTAGATTCACCCCTCATTCTTTCTCCTTCCTTCCTCCTACCACCTTCTTGAAACAATTTAAGTTTTCAATATTCTATTTTCATACATGAATACAAAAATCCATCCAATGCATTCACCCTCCTTCACCCTTTCCTTATGCCCTCCCCTCCCTTTGGTACGTACTCACAGCCAGGACCTGCTTTACCTTCTTGTGCTTCATTTTTTAAGGCATATATTAATCTTTTAAGGGGTTTTGAATTGGTATTTCAAACATGTATAAATAGTGCTTTTGTAGCAGGTATACTCCTGCTACTCTTTTTTACTACCCTGCTCTCTTATTATTCAATAGTTTATAGAGAATTGCGTTATATTATCTTCATACACAGATGCAATGTTTCAGTATTTTTCACTAACGTTCTCCTTCCCACTCCCACCTCCCTATAGTCCCCACAGATGGACCCATTAATATACTCATGCTCTCTCTCTCTCTCTGTTTATATGTTTTTTGTGTACATTTATTTTATAGATCTAGCTCCTACATACGAGGGAAAACAGCAATTACAGTTGAAGACTTTAACACCAAGACAATCTCCAAGAGGAGGTTTAACTACAAGCCTTCTTATTTCTAATTAATAAATGTGCACATAGTATTTTTTAAAATCTGTGGTTGCAATTCTTTTACTTTGTCTGTGTGAAGGAAACCTGGGGTGAATTTTTTGTCAGGCCACACTATGATTTAATAGGTACAATTGCAAAAAAAGAAAAGTACCTAAAACAAGTTAAACACATCTTAGAATACACCTTAAAGAAAATATTATTGCACAAGCAAATTATGTAAGTCCACTCAAAAGTAAAATAGGTATAACAAATATTTACCATGTATAGTTGTTTAAAGAAGAGCATTTAAAATATTTCAATTACATAATGAGTTGTTTCATTTATTAATGTGCTTAATGATTAGTATTTTAAAATATCTAGATATATCTAATATCTGACCTCACACCCAAACCAATAACATCTGAATATTTGCATTTGAAGTTCTTGTAATACTGGAACTTTGGAAACTGAAGTAGGAAGGTTTCCCAATCAAGAGCAGACTAGGAAATACTCAGATCCTGTCTCTAAGAAATTAAAACAATTATTACCTATATCTTAAGATTTCTGATGAATTTTTTCTCAGCAGTCAGCCTGACAAATTATCTCTTTGTAATAACATACTAAGAAATTTAATTAGGATAAGGAACAATGTGTTAATTCATTTGTCTCCAGTAGATAACATCGTTTCATGGGATGGGAGTCAGAAAATGAACATCTTTCCCAATGTCATTGAGCTGCCAAAATATGCACAATATATGTGATTACATCTGCATCATTGTGCTTTTACTGCTTAGTGTAGATAGGAAGAATAACCCCATGCATACAGGTATGACCTAAGTGAGGTCTGGAACTTAAAAAAACGATGATCATGCTGTAAAACAAAGTATTAGGGTTGGCAGAGTGACTCAATGGTGGAGTGTCTGCTTATCAAGCATGAAGTTTGAGTTCAGATAGCAGTACTGTGAAAAAATAATTATCATGGAAATTGTAAGCTCATTGGTGGATAGAGTTTTCAAATGGCATTGGAGACTGGATTGTGGGAGGCTCTATAATGAGAGGCACTATGTTTACCTGCGCCTTTCATCTTTGTTCTTTTTCTTTCTATATCAATGAAAATCTCTTCCATATATTTCAATAATTGATTGATGTAGGTATCATATAATGGAAGTTTGGGGCCCATACGTGCATGACAAAGCACACAAACAAGAGTTATTTTATCTTTTCTCTAGGTCGATGGTACATACCTTAAAAGATTGAAAGTACAGACAGAAAATCATCAACTGTCTTGTAGCCACAGTAATTATGGCTAATTTAAGGAAAATAAGGAAAAGTCTATTTCATGTTCAATATATGTCTTATTTTGATTCCCCTTCTGTGACAAATAAGTTATATGAGCTCTGAATAATCTGAAATAAAAGAGGGCATTTCATGTCTTTATGCATATAATTGTACAAAGACAGATTCCTCACAATCAATACTATAATTATTTTGTGGAGATTAAGGAACAGTTTAGAGACACATACATTTTCTGCTTTTGAGGGTGAGATGTCTACACAAAGTAGAAACAGAGTCATTGTAAAGCAAGTTTTGAATGTGCTCTCTGGTCTCCTCACTAAAACCATAAACTGTAAAGTCCTCATAACTAAAAAAAATTATATTGCTATCCTCCCAGATGACTACCCAAACTGTTAAGTGTGACCTCATGATGAGGAAACTAAACTTCCAATGCTCCTTGTTGTACCTACCATCTTTGTAAGTACTTACTGAGTAAAGTCACTTCTCTGTTGGCTCATCACCAAAGAGTGCAGATCTATACACCTTTTAAAGCCTTGAGCCCAGTGAAGTCTCAGTCTCTGTCCTCAGGATTGATATGAACAGTGTCAGATGGGAGCTTCATGATGCATACAACCATGGGTGAAGGAGACAAAGGTATGGTCTTACAGGACTGGAGCCATCAACATAAAGGGTGGGAAGGACATGAAAGTTTTTGACTATTACATGATCTTAGAGACTCAATGCACACAGCTCATAAATTACCCAAATTCGTCCATGTTTTCTCAGTCTCTAAGGACTTCCTGATACAAATGGTGGGAGAAGAGACGATGAATATCCACAATAGGTTTGGGATTTTTCTCTACTTGATTAAGCTCATATGTACTAATCACTTCCTTCACATAATATATTTTCAAGACCGATTTGCTTTTTATTTCCATGTGCATTGAAGTAAAGTACACATAAAAACTTTACAAGATAGCTGGGCATGGTCTTTCACACATTCAGTTCCATTACTGGGGAGGTGGAGGAAAGGAGGATGTTGAACTGGAGGTCGGGCTGGATCACATACTGACTTGGGAACCAACCTGAACTACAAAGTGTCAACCAATCTCAGAAAAAGCAAAAAAGCCTCATCATTGTAAACATATTATGCAAATACTTCAGTGGTATTAATTTCATTTGCATTGTTGCAAAACTCATCATTCAGAACTTTTCCTTTACCCACACTGAAATTCTAATCAAAATTTCTTACTTATACCAGCACCTAACCCTGGCAATGACCTTTCCACTGTGAAAAGTTTTGCCAAAATTCATAAAATTATAAAAATAATGTGATCATAGTGACAGGATTTATAATTCTATAAGTTAAGTGTTGCTTTTTCTAAACTATATATTAAATGGCCCTGAGAGTAGACTGTGCTACTTGGGATTCTTTTAAGGAATATTTTTATTGTTGTGCTGGGGATACATTGTGGCATTTAGAAAAATTTTTACAATATATTAAATATATCATCATTGAATTCTCCTTTATCCCTCCTCCCTCCATTCCTGGATTATTTACAATCTCATTTTTTCATTTATATATATGTGTACACAGTATTTGCACCATAATAACCCTCCTACACCTTAAGGACACTTTTAATGTCCTTGTTTCTTAAGTAACAGATAAAGGGATTCAGCCAAGTGTACATGATGGTGGCACCATAATATTTTGAGGAGAATGTGATACACTTGAGATAAGGTACATGCTAATGTTTATTATACAAAATAAGCCAAAAGGAGACAGGTGTGATGTATAGGTGGAGAAGACTTCCTACTTCCAACTGGTGATGGGATTCTCAGAACAGAAGAAACAAATTTATTTTAACAGGATAGGATCACTGAATTAGGGGTATAAAAGTATGGTACAGACAATGAACTTCATTATGTTATTAGTGAAGTTGTCCAAATGGGCAAGAATAAGTAATTGGACAAGGTAACAGAAGAAATTGGAAGTTTCCAAATTCTTGGTAATTTGCAAGGCAATCAAATTG